CATTTGCCACTAGGAGAGGCTTGTTTTGAGAATGGACCTCAATGCCATTATGAAGATGGCAAGGAAGTCCTTGAGGTATAACCAAACCAAACCCATCACTCATTTTGATGACAAAGCACTCGAAAGAGTCTTAAAATAACTATTGGGATTGTTCAGTATTCTTTTGAATAATGGTTACTAGAGACGAGTTATCTTGAAACAGTGAAAAACTTGGTGGTAAGGCCTTTGAACTAAAAGACTTTATATCTGCAATCAAATCTAACAATGAGCTATACTACTAAAGATTAACTAATATATTCAAAATATCCTTTATAAAGTAGGCTTAAAAATCTATTTGTTTATGTCCACAAATTATTGATGCTAAAAGTGTGTGCGTATTCTTTTTATAAGTGTTTGCGTGAAGCGTTGCCTATGCTATCAATCATGCAATAAACCAGAAGTTGCCTATTTCAATATGATAGAGGCACAAGAAAAGTACCATGATAGGCCATTGGCCAATCGATTACTACTTTGGGTCTGCTTGGTAAAAATTGTTACTTTTAGTTTTTACTGTAGATTTTTACTTTAAAAATTTTTACTATTAAAATTTAACTTTTACTTTAAAAAACATGATAAACAAACAGAAAAAAAATTAAAAAAAATAAAGAAATGGATCTCAAAAGAAAGAAGAAAAAAATAAGATGTAATTAATTAAAATTAGTTTGTAATTGTTTATATATATATATATATCTATAAATTCTTTTAAATAATTAGAGGAAGAAGAAATAATAAAAAATATATATTTATTTTTATAAGTTTTTGGGTAAAAACTCCTAGTAGCTTTTAGAAATCATGACCCAAAACAAAGAGTCTTACTTTTAAGACTCTAAAATTAATAAACTAGAAAAAGTGTGTTTGGCTAAAAAAAAACTTTAAAAACTATAAAACACTTAAAAGTCTTTACAGTCTAACGTCAAACAACCCCTTTAATGTTTGTGATATTAGCCAAAGCTGAGATGCCCACTAAATTTGATGAACAATTATAAAAAAGCAGCTCTTCTCGAACAAAGGAGCAAGAAGAATCTTGATATTGCAGGTTTTCTCTAGGATAAAAGCTGAAAATATGTAATTTTGTTGCATAAGTATTCATCGAATTATGAAGATTAATGGGCTTAGATCAGAGAGCTAACTTGTTAAATATTGGCATGCATTGAATAACAAGGAACAAATAACTCTTTTTGCAATTTCATCATCAGCAACGAATTAATTTATATATACCCCAATCCTAGAATGTCATCATAAAAATCATCACACACATAAACATACAAAAAAAAGTGTTTTGCTTAAGAGAAGGAAACCAGTACCACAATATCCTTGACCGGTTTAGGCCTTAACGAAGAATGAGGAGAAGAAGCGGTTTCGTTTAGAGATTTTACTGCTTTTTTTCTTGGGTTTTGATTGTAACTCGGAAGAATTACATTTGAAAGAGAAAATAGGATATTGAAATTGGGATCGGAATCCTCGTCATTGTTACTGGAAACATATCCTGTTACTTGCAAGTCACTCGATCAGATGAAATTGGAAGTGTAGACACAGTAACGACACTCAACAATCCCAAAACCTATCTGAATCTTATTGCATCATAAAGTAACTTGATGGCGAATGCATCAATATTATCCACACCACGCCATCACCCTCGTTATTATTAAATTTCTCCCTCGTTATCCAAGTGGATTACAGGTAACCTATTTGAGATTTCCATTGAATGACACATTTGTTCATTCAAGATTTACGAACCAGTCAGGTTTATCTATAAACTATATTGCGTGAGATGCACAATGTAGACACGACACTCATCAAAATTAACCTTTACGAATAAAACTGACCAAGATCTTGTAAACCTTTCCGAGTCTAATATACTCATATCATATCTGTTAGAATCCCACATCGGAAGTTTAAAGGGACTAACACTAGTATATAAGAGACTTAGGTCTCTCAATTTATTGCCAATTGGTTTTAAGTGGAAAGTCCAAGAAACTTAACATGGTATCAGAGCTTCGTTTGTTGACCCAAAAAAGGCGGCCCAAAAAGGGTTTATTATCGGTCCTAAAGTGGGATTCGGTTCGAGATGAGTTGATAAGAGTCATCATCTCGAGGGGGCGTGTTAGAATCCCACATAGGAAGTTTAAAGGGACTAACACTAGCATATAATGGATTTGGGCCTCTTCACTTATCGCCAATTGATTTTAAGTTGGAAGCCCATGAAACTTAACAGTATCCTAAGCCGAAAACAGGAAACTCTTTAGCGTTGTTCCTGGTCATTTTAACCCGCTTCAACAACCGATTCCAGAGCGCTATCAATCTGATCCTCTGATCAAACTGACAGTAAGAGCTCATCGTAAGTAGCTAGTGATGTTTTTGTGCTTGAGATCATATATATCTCCGCAAGGAAAGTGTAGCTCACGCATTTCTATGGCTGGATCGATGCTGTCGGGATCGATAATGTCTATGGAATAAACTTTGGAATGGGTCAGGAAGATGAATTGGGACGGGAGCAAGACAAGTAGTTGTTAAGGAAGCTCTTGTCGTTGAAAAGACCGTTCCATTGTTTACATACAGTTCTGAAACGAACAAGACATCAAGGTGGAAGACGAGAGAGTGTCTCTTCCTCCAAATCCCACGCTGTGAAGCCCTATTAGGTTTTCTGTGTTTCAATGTACAAAGAGTCCTAATACGTATGTCATTTTGACCTAAGTCTCTTTTTAAGTAGGGTATAAACCTCTAGACAAAAGAGAGGGTTTGTTGAAGAATTTACACATAACGACGGTCCATTACTAAACACTCTTAAAACATGTCAAAGGTCCCAACACGTCGACTCTAGCACTACATGTCAAACAGTGCTGTTCGTATATGCACGAGGGGGATAAAAAGGTAATCTGATTGGTTGAGCTCGGAAATTCTTGTGGATGAGTTTGAGATCGATAAGACCATCCACGTCCATGTGATTATTTGATGTCTAGTCGAGGTGATACTTAGTGAATTGCGAGTTCTTTAGTATTAATTGCAGAAATTTTGGATTCCTTACTAAATGAAGTTACAAGCCTATTTATACTACCAATTACATTTTGCTCAGAGTAGGTTAACGGTCGGGCAGGTAGACCTGGCCGACCGTCCTCCTAAATATCGCGGTGGCATGCTGCTTGATGGCTCGTCTTGCTTGTCGTCGTGGTGGCGAGCTGCTTCCCCGTTTTAACTCGCCTGATGGGCCTTTTAGCGACCCTCGACCTTGTTAGGCTTTAAGAATTGGGTACTTAGCCGGGTAAATTACGAGAAGGGGGCTGTGCTCAACCTACCTCCAACAATTGTCCCCCCAGTCCGTTGATGAAAATGTTACATCGATGTTCAATGGCTTTGACGACTTTGGTTTGTGAGATTTGTTTTGACCTTGATCGATGCTCCTGGCGAGGTGCGAGATATTTCGTGGGAAAGGGATTCATCGGGGTGTCCTCTTTGTTCGTGGGAGATGCGCCTGGCTGATAGCGGCGGAGTCGAAAAGTCACGCGTGCTCATCAGGTTGGGAGATGGCAGAAAACGAAAAGACGCACCTTGTCACTCAGATGGCTCAAATGCGCGTGGAATCCGGTCACCATTAAATCTAGTGGGAAGCGTCCGTGTGATGATTGCTTTCCTGGGTAACCATCACTTTGTTTCTCTATATAATCCGCGGGACTCCAATTTTTCTCATTCTCTTCTCTCGCTTATAAAATGTAACTTCTCTCTCCCTTCTCTCTAGAATTTTTGTTTGCCCACTTTCTCTTTCGACTTCATCTTTTCCGTTGTTTCTGCCTTTGCTTCCGTCGATCACCGAACTTCCGGTTACATTTACTACCATCAACCATGGCTTTGAGAGAGGAGAGAATCAAATTGAGCTTATAGTCCGGATCTCAATACGAGGAAGTCGCTGCAGAGAGCTCTAGCACTTCGCTTGCTGCATCATTGAGGTTCGAGGGTCGTTCGGATCATGAAACGTGTCTTCACGGGGCGATGGCTCGGATGAGCTCGACAGAGATACGCGCGAGAGTGATGCTGAGGCTCAGATCATGGATGAAAATGAAGAGGAAGAGAAAGAAGAAAAGGAAGAAGGGGACGCACAAGTCAAACCTCACAGGAAGGGTTCCAAACGGAAAAGGAACATCAAGAATCGCCTGTTGAAGATCTGATGGTTGATCGCTTGAATGAGATGCGAGCTCTCTACCGTTTTTCTTCAGGCGTGGTTCTTAAGTCGCCGGGACCAGAGGACTGCCCGTGGCCAGCTCCGGCGGGGTGGGTTACTCTCTACGAGGCATGGTTCAGCCTCTACCATCTCTAGGTTCCTCTTCCAATGCTGTTGAGAGATAACGTTGATAAGCGAGGTATCACGTTCTCCCAGCTCATTCCGGCTGGGATTAAATTCATGGTTGCAGCCCTCGTTTTTGGGGTCGAGGTCGGGGTCAACGTAAACTGGCGTTTCTTCGAGGAAATGACGCTGGTGCAGAAAAAAATTTGATTCCCGCCACCTATACAATCAAGGCTAAGATGCTCTCTGGTCTACCCCGTCAACAAAATGCAATATTGGGAGACAACCTTCATCTTCGCTAAGGTCAATGACGTGTTAGTCATCGACACGCAGAAACTTTAGAAGCGATTAGAGCAGTTGCATTGGTAGATCGCGAGTTCGATCAATCTTTTCCTCCAATAATTTTTTTGCTTCTGATACTTCAGTAATTTTTTTACAGATCAGAATATCAACCTCGGTGCATTCCCGGAGATCTATTTCAAGGACCTTGAAAAGATCCAGTCTTTTGGGATTCAGAATTGGCCTGAGATACATCGCCGGAGGGTCCAAGCAGCTATCACTCGCATTACAAACGGTAAGACAAATTCTCTCAAATATTTTTCTCGATTTTTTTACATCAAGCTTACAGTGTCTCGTTTCAGCAAGTTAGGGAAGGGTCGATCATCACACAAGGCAATCAATCGAGATGGCTCCAGTCCAGGTTGATGCTCCCAGCCTCGCGGCGAGGCTCCAAGCCAAGAAGAGGAAGATCTTGACGAAGACTCAGAGGGCTTCTATATCTCGCCCTGAGAGCCAAGCTTTCGTTGTTCGACATGAAGAAAATGCACCTCAGATGGGGGCAGAAGTCGCTCCTCAGGTCGAGGTCAACCGCAAAGAAGAAGGCGGTAATGGCACAGAAAATCTTGGACAAGACGAGACCTATATCGCCGATCAGCGCAATGTTCTTCCGACCGGTGACGAGACCAAGGAGGCTGCGAGGGCTGCAGCCAGAGTGATGAGGAAAGAGAAGAAAAAGGAAAAGAAGGAGAAGGAGAAGGAAGAGGCCGAGACTGCTCGCCTCGCTCAGCAGGAGGCAGAGGTTGAGGCCGCCAAGGCAAAGGAGATGGGGAGCAAGAAGAAACGCGCCACCAGTGAGGTGAGCGCGAATGAAAAGTTCGACAGCGAGGAGGCTGCTAAGAGGACGACAGTCGCTCCTAACAATGCTGAGAAGGTCAAGGAGGTCGACTGGCGCTTCCAATTTGATTACGACAACAAGGAGGAGCCTTTTGTCAACAATGCAGACAAATGCACCGAGCAGTTCGGCTTGATCAAGGGGTCGACCTCGGAGGTCCCCGCTGGTGAAGATGCTGTCTTCAAGGACGTGGTGAGCTTTACTTTTAAGGTTTGCTCTCTCTCTTTCGTTTGCCAGATTATTTATAGATCGATCCTTATGGTTAGTAATGCATCTTGTCTTTAATTTTAGTTCATCGCGAGCTGCAATAAGATGCTAGGTTAATACCTCCGCAGGATTTGGATCGCCACGAAGCAACTGCAGAATGCCCAATCTGCGGGTAAATAGGCCGTCATCAAGCGAGATGCGGCATTTTCTGTGAAGAATTCCGTGGAGAACCGGCAGATCGAGAAGCAGAGATCACATCGGCTCGAGGTGAGCATCAAGGATTTGACCGTTAAGGTCGAGGACATACGACTAGAGAACACCGCTCTGATCAACTATCTCCAAATCGTGAACGAGGCAAAGCTGCAGACGGAAAAGTCAATTGGTCGCACGGGTGCAGCATCACGCCGACCAAAAGATCGACTCTGAGACCACCAGGATCTGGGTGGAAGCTGAGGCCAGGTTCTCGGGTCGTATTGGCCGTCTGAGTACTTATATTGCTAAGCGGGACGCCGCCGAGATGGTAAAACTCGATCTCGTTCAAGCCCGAGGTGCTCTCGAGTGTCTTAACCTCCTTAGAGACGAGGAAGAGATGACCGAGGAGGAACTGAGAGCTGATCTCGAGCAAACTCAGTGAGAATGCGAGGAGAAGTTCAATGGTCTCAGCCTCACTGATCTCGAGGACGGGAATCTGCCTCCACCGTTTCCCGAGATTCTTGGGATGGGATCGGACTATGAAAACCCTAACGCTCAAGGGGAAACTGGGAATGATGACCAGCCCAAGGAGTAGGTCGCATCTTTAGCTTACTGTTCTTAGATCGTTATTGTTTGTAGTATCCTTCTCTTTTTTTTTATCCTCGATGTAATCCGGCGGCCTTTGACTCCCTTATTAATGAAATTTCTTTCTTACTCGAATGTCATGTGTTGTTTGAGAGCTCAACTGTTTTACTCTGAATAATTCGATTGGATTTGTCATATAGATGCTTACTGAAATAACGCGAGTCTGAGCTCGGTTAATCAAACATGTAGGTGTAGACTGAAAATAAGTGCGAGGTGAGAACTCTCGGCTTACTAGAACTATAGGTGCGAGGTGCGACCTCAGCTTATCAGGTTTTACTTACGAGTAAGGACTCGGTTTAGTAAGCTGTACGTGCGAGTATTAGTTCGGCCCACCTGTTAGCTTTTTAGATCGTATCCGAGTGACGAGGATGTGTTCGGCATTTTTACTTGGACAATCTAAAAGATTATGCAAGACTGGGCCCGACTTATTTTCTTATAGTCATAAAGTTTTTGTTCCTTAGAGGACTTACAAAAAATTGCACTACTGAGAATGCGTATTTGTAGATCGCACATCTAATTAAGATGTCGATATCAAAGATGTCGGGTAAAAAGTTGGCCTAAAAAGAATTGTATTTATATCAACAGCTGTACCTCGAAAGAGGTTGCCTACATACCCAAGAAGCTGGGATCAAGCCGATCGTAGTTCACATTAATAAAGCATAGCTCGACGAGCGTCATTTTTTTGTTTGTGTTCGACAACCCTGGTAGTATAATATCTTTTGATGTTCAGCGCGTTCCATGACCTCGGTATGACCTCGCCTTGCATGGTCATGGCCCTTATCTTTTGATGATTTGATAAAGGCCTTCGAATATGACCTCGGTATGACCTCGCCTCGCTCCTTCCTCCTGGGTGTTCTCAAACACCTTGCGGAGGACGAGGTCTTCGATCTCGAAATGTCTTCCTTTGACCCTCTTATTGTAGTATCAAGCTGCTTGTTGTTGATAGTTTTGAATTCGGAGTAGGGCTCAATCTCGTTCTTCATCAAGCATATCCAGGTTATCTTTGATCATTGCTCTATTAGTCTCTGTGTTTTGCGTGGGCATCGTTCTGCGGAGGGTTGGAAGGTCCACCTCAGCTGGAGCCAGAGCTTCCATTCCGTGTGACAAAGAGAACAGAGTTTTGTTTGTGGATCGTCGCGGTGTAGTGTTGTGTGACCAAAGAACTCCATTGAGCTCGTCTGTCCATAGTCCTTTCTTCGCCTCTAACCTTTTCTTGATCCTGTAGAGGATCGTTTTCTTAGTTGCTTCGGCCTGCCCGTTATCTTATGGATACTGCAGTGTCGATTTTCTTAGTCTGATTTTCCACTTTGCGTAGAAATCTTTGAAAATATTAGAAACGAACTTAGCGCCATTATCCACGACAATTTCATACGGGATCCCGTGTCGACAGATGATATGTTTCCATACAAAGCTCTTGACGTCGACCGCGCGAATCTTGGCATAAGAGTCAGCCCTAACCCATTTTGTGAAATAATTTGTAAGGATGAGCATGAACCTTTTTTGGCGTGATCGAGGTAGTGGTCCGACAATGTCCATCGCCTATCGCATGAATAGATAAAGGTGGTTATGAGGAGCTTCGCCAGGGCGTGGATCAGCGAGCTACAAATTTGTCGCAGTCTGCCAGCATCTTGGGCCAATAAAATCTGTGGTTCTTTTTTCTCATTGCTAGATCACGTCCGTTTGAATGGTTGCCACAAGCGTCCATGTGTGTTTTCTTCATGACATTGTGCGTTTCTCACCATACAGGCAGTTGAGTAGGGCTCCTGATATACTCCATCGATATAGGTTTTCATCCTGTTAGATCAACTTTGCGCTCTGTGATTTGGGATGCCTTGCCGCCCATCGGTCGGGTGGTACCTGGCCGTCGATGTTATACATCAATATCTCGACTATCCAATCTTTGCTGGATGGTTCCTGCTCGGCTGGTTCATCAATGACGTCGAGGAGGGGTGCTTCATTTGTGTTGATGCTGCTGACCTCGAGTTCTCTGATAGAGCACAGCCTTTGGGAAGGTGGATGCTTGGCGCGTCAGTGCTTTCAACGGGGATGACACGCCGTTGGTTGGGATGTGACGTCGATGCGAAGACCGCTAGTGAGATGGCTGATGTGTTATCGCTCCTCGGGATTCTGGTGAGGGAGAAAAACTTGAATTGGTTGGTGAGTTTCTTTACGTCTTTAAGGTACAGATCCATCCCATCGTTCCTAGTATCATAGTCACCAATGTATTGGTTGGCGATGAGCTGGAAGTTGCAAAATGCTTTGATCTTTCTGACCCCAATTCCGAGAGCTAGGAAGAATCCGATGAGAACTTTGTACGCTGTCCCGTTGTTCGATGCCGAGATTTCAAAGCGGAACGACTGCTCTAGTTTGGTCTGAGATTCCAAGCGTATGCCTACACCTGCTCCTCGAGAGGATGAATAACCATCACCATATAGAGACCATCTTTCGTCGGGGAGATCGGTGTGTACGAGCTCGGAGAGCAGTTTAATCAGGAAATCTGCGAGGACCTGAGACTTGGTGCTTGCTCTGTTGCAATACTCTATATCGTATTCCATGAGCTCGACTGTCCATTTTGCCATTCGACCGGATTGGCTCGGGCTGTGAAGTATTGTCCTCAGCAGTTAGTTCGTGGCCACCACGATCGAGTGTGATTGGACGAAGTACAAAGTTTCCTTGCTGACATAATAACCGCCAAGGCGTGCTTTTCTAGTGTTGGGTACCATTTTTTGGTGTCGTCCATGGTCTTGCTAATGTAAAAGATCAGATTTTCCTCGCTTTTGTCCTCTCTGACCATCACACCGCTGACAGCCGCTGTCGAAACTGCGATGTATAAATATAAGGTTTCTTTTATCTCGGGTTTGGCTAGGATTGGTGGCGATGACAGATATTCTTTGAGCTGCTTGAAGGTGAGCTCGAACTCAAAGTGTTTGTTGTCGCGCAAGAGCTGGTAGAATGGGAGGCATTTGTCAGTTGATCTCGAAATGAATATGTTAAGTGCAGCGATGCGCCTGATGAGCCTTTGTACCGCTTGAAAATTCCTTGGGGAAGGTAGGTCGATCAACGCGTCGATTTATTTGGTGTTTGCTTCGATCCCTCTTTTGGTGATGGTGTATCTGATAAACTCTCCGGAAGTCACGCCATATGTGCATTTCGCAGGGTTCAGCTTCATTTTGTACTGGTTGAGGATGGTGAAGCAAGTTTTAAGGTGCCCGATGTGCTCTTCGGCGGTGAGAGATTTTATTAGCATGTCGTCGATGTAAACCTTCATCGTTTGTCCCAGGTGGTCGGCGAACTTGTGGTTTACTTATCTTTGATAGGTGGCTCCTGCGTTTTTGAGCCCGAAGGGCATAACCTTGTAGCAATAGGTTCCTCAATAAATGATAAACGATATCTTTTCTCGATCATCGGGTGCATCACGATCTGATTTTAGCCGGAGAAAGCGTCCATGAAGAACAAGTGCTCGTTCCCAGCGGTCGCCTCGACTAGTCGATTTATGTGTGGTAGGGGAAGCTATCTTTTGTGCAGGCCTTGTTGAGATCGGTGAAATCTACACAGATTATCCACATTCTACTCTTTTTCTTTATGACCACTGGGTTGGCTAACCACTCCGGGTACTTCACATCGGTGATAGATCTGGCTGCTGATAGGCGTTCGACCTTGTTGTTGACAGCTTTCGCTTTTTCGGAGCCAAGCTTCCTCCTCTTCTGCTTGATTGGTTTGAAAGTGGGATCGGCGTTGAGCTCATGACAGGATATCTCGGGGTCGATCCCGGCCAAGCAAAGATCGACATATTTAGGCGGAGGAGTCTGACGAGCTCGTTCTTGATCTTTTCCTTTAGATCGGCTCCGATGCTGACACATCGAGTAGGGTCGCTTTCGTCGATGTTGACCTGTACAATAAGCTCGCGCTATGGTCCCTCCCGAGGGGGGAGATCGACCTGAATCACGATCTGATTTTAGCTGGAGAAAGCGTCCATGAAGAACAAGTGCTCGTTCCCAGCGGTCGCCTCGACTAGTCGATTTATGTGTGGTAAGGGAAGCTATCTTTTGTGCAGGCCTTGTTGAGATCGGTGAAATCTACACATATTATCCACATTCTACTCTTTTTCTTTATGACCACTGGGTTGGCTAACCACTCTGGGTACTTCACATCGGTGATAGATCTGGCTGCTGATAGGCGTTCGACCTTGTTGTTGACAGCTTTCGCTTTTTCAGAGCCAAACTTCCTCCTCTTCTGCTTGAGTGGTTTGAAAGTGGGATCGGCATTGAGCTCATGACAGGACATCTCGGGGTCGATCCCGGCCAAGCAAAGATCGACATATTTAGGCGGAGGAGTCTGACGAGCTCGTTCTTGATCTTTTCCTTTAGATCGGCTCCGATGCTGACACATCGAGTAGGGTCGCTTTCGTCGATGTTGACCAGTACAATAAGCTCGCGCTATGGTCCCTCCCGAGGGGGGAGATCGACCTGAATCACGATCTGATTTTAGCCGGAGAAAGCGTCTATGAAGAACAAGTGCTCGTTCCCAGTGGTCGCCTCGACTAGTTGATTTATGTGTGGTAGGGGAAGCTATCTTTTGTGTAGACCTTGTTGAGATCGGTGAAATCTACACAGATTATCCACATTCCCCTCTTTTTCTTTATGACCACTGGGTTGGCTAATCACTCCGGGTACTTCACCTCGGTGATAGATCTGGCTGCTGATAGGCGTTCGACCTTGTTGTTGACAGCTTTCGCTTTTTCGGAGCCAAGCTTCCTCCTCTTCTGCTTGATTGGTTTGAAAGTGGGATCGGCGTTGA